GGGGCGCCAAAATACTCTTTGCTTACCATTGAAAATTACCTAGGGCCGCCTCTGCACAGCATGCATCCCTCGGTTGTTGCTGTGAATGGTTTTCCAGGCTGCCTGGCTAGGTTCCAGAAGCACTCTCTCCTGACATTCCCCCTCCATCTATCTCTGGCTGAAGGCATCCTCAGAGGTTGGGAGGGAGGCCTGTTGCAAACTGGGCGAGTAGAGTTCACATACATCCCTGTGGAGTGATGCCCAGGGTAGGAGAGAGAAAGAACTCCTGTCTGTTGGAGGCAAGTGTGGATGTTTCCATTCACCACCTTCATTCGCACTGAATGGCCTCACAGGCCCAAAGCCTGGCTGCTTGCTGCCTGGCTTCCCACAGATATACAAACCCCACTTGCCTACTTTCCCACATCAAGCAAAAAGTGGGTGCCAGAAACAATATCCTACGAGAGCTGATGGGCACAACCTGGGATCAAAACCAGGCACAGTGAAGACATCTGCCCTTGCGCTGTGCTACTCTGCTGCTGAGTACGCATGCCCAGTGTGGAACACATCTCACCACACTAAAACAGTGGATGTGGCTCTTAATGAGACATGCTGCATTATCACGGGGTGTCTGCGCCCTACACCACTGGAGAAATTACACTGCTTAGCCAGTATCGCACCACCTGACATCCGCCGGGAAGTAGCAGCCAATAGTGAAAGGACCAAGGCAGAGACATCTCCAGCTCACCCCGTTTGGGTATCAGCCAGCACGTCAACGACTTAAATCAAGACATAGTTTTCTTAGATCTACAGAGACACTCGCTGGAACACCTCAGCAATCAAGAGTCCAAAAGTGGCAGGCCCAAACCCAGCACCTCAACCAATGGCTGATACCAGATGAGAGACTCCCCACTGGGCACACAGAAGACTGGGCGACTTGGAAGGCGCTGAACAGACTGTGCTCGGGCACCACGAGATGCAGAGCCAATCTTAAGAAATGGGGCCACAAAGTGGAATAATCCACGACATGCAAGTGCGGAGAAGAGCAAACCACTGACCCCCTGCTGCAATGCACCCTGAGCCCTGCCACATGATGCACCATGGAGGACCTCCTTGCGGCAACACCAGAGCCACTCCAAGGGGCCAGATACTGGTCAAAGGACATTTAACCAACTACCAAGTTTGCAAAATCTGTGTGGTTTTTTTTTAATCTGTGTGTTTGTTCTGTTAGAAATGTAATACAATGAATCATAGAATCAGAGTTGGAAGAGACCTCATGGGCCATCCAGTCCAACCCCATTCTGCCAAGAAGCAGGA